GACGGAACTTCCTGTGCCTCAGTTTGTGCCCATTGCCCCTTGTCCTGTCACTGGGCACCACTGAAAAGAGTTTGGCCCCATCCTCCTGACACCCACCCTTCAGATATTTGTAGGCATTTATAAGGTCCCCTCTCAGCTTCTCTTCTTCAGGCTACACCTCCACGAACTATTGCATCTTTTCTGCAAATTCACCAAGAGAACTGCATCAGTGCTATTTTATTCAAAGAAGTCTGTTTTCTTTCACTGCCCTGTCTACCAGGACACCAAGTTACCTGCATGGCCCCATTCAAATTCTGACCTGCCAAAAAATGAAATGTTCCCGGATTATGTTCTTCACAGCCTCGTTGCTCCAGACATCGCGGTTGAGACACTGACAGGCGAAATCCTGCACATTCTGAATGTTTATCATGAGCCATTTGTTCTGCATCTGACCACACTCCTTGGCCTGTAAGCAGAGAGACAAGCTTCATTAGATAAAACTGAAGAGCCAGACATAACTAATGCCAGCCAGTCAACGATGGCTTCTAACACTGTCAGATTTTTCACCAAAATCCCTTCACAGTGAGGAAGATGGACAGTGCTAGTGAAAAGGCATCCACAAAACAGAAGGCAAGGCTGAAAGACCCACTTTCAATTACAGAATCACATCGATGAACAGAGCTGCTGGATTTCAACAAGCCAAGCACAGAGCAGGAAAAGCAACTTGCAGAGGTGACAACAGAGGAAAGACCTGTTCATTCTAAAGATAAACCTGGATCATCTTCTATTTAAGTAGGTTGCATAACTGACAGAGGACTTGCATCAATTCAACAGGACCCCCTCTCTGCGTGTTTTCTTCTTTCTCTCCAAGTTTTGAGTTATCCTACTAGTGTGCAACTGCCGAATTAGGCATCCTTTTTTGATGCTCATTATACAGACTGCAATTGGGGAGGAAGACAGGAAGGTGCAGGAAGAAATCTTACTGGTTTGAGTCACAAAGCTGGCATTGTCTTATTGCTTGGTTGCAAGTTAATGGTAGGAGTTTGATCAAGAATGTAATTCTGATCGCTGAATTGCCATACCTGTTGAAAAAAAGAGGGCTGTATCAACAGCAGAATGCTCTTACCACCTGGAAAAAATGGAACTAGCATATGAACTCCCTTTCCTTTTAAAAAAGAAAAAAAGTATCTATTTATAAGTGTGTTCACCATTCTGCTGATAATGCACTTAACAGCAAAGTCACGGAATTAGGATGTTATGCAAGATTTTGCTGTTTTGGGCAATATTTTTTTCCCCAAAACCAAAGTTTTTACTTTTAAAATTAATTTTAGCCAGTGCACTTACGAATAGTCAGCCTACTCAATGTGTGATAGACAGACACATGAACCCCACACACTTAGCTTCACAAAGTGAAGAATCTCAGCCTACAAAAATAATCTGCATGGCCAAGTGACATGCAGAGCCAACCATTTTACTCAAAGGAAAAAAAATTGAATGTAGAAGCATTGAATAGTCCTCCTGTTCTCACAAGGGACCTTACACTAACTACTTACCACTAATATTACAGTGTCAGAATCCAGCATATGGTCACCAGGAGAGGAAAGCGGGGCAGGTGACACCTAAGTAACTGGTAAGAGTCTTAAATATAGTCATGATGCTTTTATTTAAAAGACTTGTTTTGAGCTAACTGTGGATTTTCAGAACTAATTCTACAAAATCAGTTAAAGACGAGGCCTAGAGGTACTGCACAAGTTTAAGAGGAACAAAAAAACTTCTGTGATTTCAGTCAACTGGATTGCCTTAGTCCTGTGTTCTAATGTCATATATACTGGATTAAAAGAACAAAGTCAAAAATACATAACTAGAAAGTGCATCTCACTCTTCTACACTTACTTTGTATATTTTTCATTAGTGAAAACCTGGCTCTACCTCTCCTCCACCCAGCTAAGGTCCTCGAAAGGATGCAAGCAGGAAATTCCACACAGAACATTTGCAAATATGAGTTTTCACCTGTAGAGCAGGTATAGCTTTTGAAAGTACTTTTAACTTCCTTCTAAAACAACGGGCTTCACACTTAACATCTAACAGGGCACAGTTAAATTGCTGCCATCTCACACACACACAACTCTGCTCTTACACAGCTACTGGGGTTTTTCTGAGGGAATGGAGGTGGGTGGAAGGAGAAGAATGTGGGGGAAAGAAATGCTGTGGGTTTGGAGATTATACTGGTGGGTCATTTTGGTAAGTGACAAAAGAACAAGGGAAGACTCAAGAGCTGGTTGCATATTCTGAAAGCTGTGTCTGGTGGCTTTAGATCCACTGTTTCCAACATCAACTTCCCCCCATCTCTCCTCCTCCTTTGCGGCATAAAGGCCAGCACCAGGCACTTAAAGAGTACACGGATAGCGTAAGTGCAGAACAACCACTCCTTGCAAGCATCTCTGTCCAAGCTTTCAGCAATTGGCAGAGCAGGAACTTTCCAAGACAGAGGTAGTGGGTCTCAGATACAACAGGCCAGATGCCATTCACATTTTTCATCACTACAACAACTTATAGCAACCAATATAACCACCTTATAACCACCAATCTGGTTAGACAATATGTGAGAGAAGTCTTGTTTTACACTCAGTACTGGATCTCACTGGATAACCTCTAGCACTTGCACCACTAAAAATAACATCTTTTCCTCTCATTTGAATTTTCCAAATCATGTATGGTTTATAAATGTCGTGCTGGTTCTTCCTTGCTCAGCTTTGTTGAAACGCACTCTAATAAAAAGCTTTGCTGAAATGCACTTTAAGTCAGCAGAGAGAAACAAGGAAGTGGAGGCAGCACCTTGTGACCTTCTGGACATCTGCTAATCAAGCACGATTCAGCTTGGAAGGTAAGAGGTGACAGAAGTCAGAGCATGGAATTATCTAACAAGAAACATCCTATCTGTGCTATAATTACACTTCTTCCCTGGGCCAGGGCATACATCTTTTCATCATCCAGCCATTCCTGTCCCAAAGGTGCCACGTGCAGGGCTTGCCTTTGTGAATGGCAAATCCAGAAGCTCCTTATGCAAAGATAGTTGCACAATTTGAGTATGACGACTAGATTGGCTTCCAAACTATTGCTGCTTGCTATGTACAAAGAAAAAAAATCAGTGCCAGCTGTAAAGCAGCAGCTAGAAAAGGTTCAACTTGTAAAATGAGGACATTTCATACAGACAGACTTGAAACATACAATAACCTCAGAAATACTGAAATTCTAATGAGTGTTAAGCACAGAACTGCGTGTGCCAGGACTATCTCCTCCCTAAACAAGAAGTGTAAACTAAGTCAATTTGGTGTGTACTCCCCTGAAATTATATCTTATCTCACATCATATGCATGAAGAGATGAACACCTGCAATTCTTGAATGCAGTCTTTGGCATGAGAACAAAACTTAAATTAAATTACATACCAAACATGCTTTGTTTTTATTATACTCTAGTGATTTATTCCTAGCAGACTCCACATTAATGAGATAACTCTGAAGCTTAATACAGATTAAAGCTCAATATTACAGTCAGGAAACGACAGTTAAAAATCTCTTGTGCAGTCTTAACTGACTCCCTAATCATATAACCATGCAACACTCCTCAAACACCGGCATTTTAGTGACAATGTGTATTTAAGCTCTGGAAGTTCCTCTGAAATTTTCTAGTAGGAAAAAAAAGGCAGCTCAGGTTAACATCTCGCTGACACATCACTCGTTTGCCTCCGGTTTATACAGCCCTACTCTACCAGCCACCAGGTAACCAGCATCTAGTGGCTCAGCCATGGTGTTCAAAAGGCCCTCAGGATTAAGTCTTTTACACTGTATCAAATCTTTTTCACCACATTTCTAGGGTGTAGTTAATTACACACTTAACTTTATGAGTATAGTGATCATAAGTTGTTCAGTATGTGAAGCACGTTGCTTTTTCACAGAAGGCAAGTTAAAACAAAATAATGTAATTTAATGCTTGAAAACTTCTCTTCAATGAAAGTTAATTCTCATCGACTCTTAAAAGCTAGTATTACTGAGTTAAAATGAAATGGCAACTTTTTACACCTTACTGATACCAAAGTTTCTTTGTAATTGAAGAAAAATAAGGTTTCTTCAGGAAAACTGAAGATAACTAAATCTATTTACTACCAAAATTAACCTTAGAATGCCCAAAGATGACCAACAAAAGATGAGCAACAAAGATGCATGAAAACCTTAGCAAGACCAGAATGCCACCACTCTTGCTAAGTTCAAATGAAAGTCCTAAATCCTAAATGATTCCATGATAAATGTACATGGCACAACACTGGCAGAATATTCTTGCATACCTCTTCAGAGGTTATAATACACCACACACTAAAAACAGTAAGAAAACCCCACTTAGATTAACACTAAACTAGAAGAGCATCAAAGTGACAGTAGTTAGTCTCTAGTACTTTGGAATGTGAGAAACTATATAATAAATCAGAGATGTTTATATATGTTTATCTCAGTGTACAGAGAAGGAGGAAGCTAACAGCAGCTTGCTAGAGATGAATTTTGGGAGACTCTGGTCACTGGATTCACAGGAGGCCCAACAATGTTGCAGGCTGAAGCAGTACAGCAGTCTACAGTCATAAAAGGTGAAACGGAAGGGATAACGACCAACAAACTGGGAAGCTGAAGATTTTTATTGCAAGAAGATGAGAAGCATCAGTTTGAAATGAAGAGTATCCCATGGGACAAAAACAAGAACACACAAAGGTGAATACCAATACCAGAAAGTGTCTTTAAATTCGAGTTACTGCAAACAACAGGACAAAGTGTGTAAACACAAACTGCATCTCCCCTCTGTTGGTTTGTTGGTTTTTTGTGTGGTTTTTTGTGGTTTTTTTTTCTTTTTTAAATTTACAAGACTGAATAAGAATGCAGAGACCTTAGGACAATCAAATCTATCAATCAGTTATTTCATTATCTGAAACTACTGTTAACTGTGGTGGATGCCACAACCAACATTGCTACAGTCTTGAGATGTTTTCCGCAAGGCCCAAGGAAAAGACGAGCAGACATTTCAACCTCCAACACAGGGGTCAGAGGGCACTCGCTGACTGTTTATGTTCCAGTCTGGAGCAGCACTGGCTGTTCTCACATGAATTCCCTTTACTGTTGCCTTTAACCATGCATTTGCTTGGCTCAAACATCTCTGAACCACAGGCCTGGTAGGTATCATCAGCTGGAGGACCTGACACAATCTTGTTTGAAGTAAACCCTGAGCTACATATCACAAGGCAGGGATGCCTCAGCACCAACTAATTCAGCCTGCTCATCTGCTTCCATTGCACCAAATTACTTGCTGAGGCAGACACGGCTACTCTTCGTCAGTGTCCTTTCAAACCTGGAATTTTGCTAGAAAATTAAACGTATGGAGGGCACTGTCAGGATACAGGAATCAGTGACAAGCCAACTGACCCCTGGTGATGTGGGAAGCATAAAAAGAGATGAGGCCAACAGGATGAGAGCTGGAGACTCAAGAACGGCACACAGCATTTCTCAAAAAATTCTCCAGTCGGGAAGCATAAAAAGAGATGAGGCCAATAGGATGAGAGCTGGAGACTCAAGAACAGCACACAGCATTTCTCAAAAAATTCTCCAGCAGTGCTCTAGTATTTATTTGTGTATGGCAGTAAAGGCAAATGTGAAAAGAATGTAAACAATACTTTTGTTCAGCTCATGGTTGCAGCATCTGTATTGCCCCATTTGATCATTAGTTTGCATTCTCATGAAATCATCACATAATAATGATAGTAAATCTCAGCTACTTAAAGAAGACCAAAGTTCAGCACTAACTGTAACTTCTGAAGAATATCTAGAAATTATGGACTCAAAAAAAAAAAAAACCACAACACCCAAAACCCAAACAAATTGCATACTCTCTAGTCATTATCATGATGACTTATGACTAGATACACATACGCCTACACAGCCAGAAAAGGTGACACCTGTAGTTATTTAAAGCTAACAGTCCCCTTCTCAGGCAGACAGTTATCTTGGATACTTTTTCCATCACTACAAAAGACAGCCACTGTGATTTTATAGAAGAGCAAGACCTCTGCTAAAGATAAAGGTGTGCCTTCATGACAAAGCCACACTCAAATACTTTCACTAGCTCTGGTATCAGAAACCGTTTAGCCATGTTAACTCTGCCTGAGCTTCTTAGCAGGGCTGTGCTGCAACTATATAGCCCCTTCCGAAGCACTTGCTCACCTATCAAAAGCAATCTTACTTCAGCTTTTTCTGCATCCTGCCATACAGAGATACTTCAAGGGATGCAATTTTTCCACTTTGACCAGGCTCCTTTGTGCACTAAAGTCTTTCACCAAGTATGATTTGCCACATTGACACTGAAACAAACAATGTGGCCTATCATCATTAAATTCCTTCAGTAAGTCAGCAAAATCTGCGTATGCAGTCCATCAAGTCTTTATCACTATATGGCCCTTTGTAACTTTCTGATCACCCAAGAAATGGATCCATACATGCCAGCAGCCTAACACAAGGCTTCCGCACTGTAAAGTCATCACATAAGGAACTGCACCAAAATTTCAAAACTTACCGTTTCAAAGCTCCCTTTGTGCATCAGATCAATGGGAGGCCTGAAGAGGTCTGCTAGAGTAGTGAGTTTCTTATCTACTGCCCCTCCATTTCGTAGCTCCTGCTCCTGTCGAACTGCACAGCCCCAAGAGCAAAGAAAGCTGAATTAGACAAAATACTCACAAGATGGATTTATTATTGGCTACATGCTCATGCACAAAACTTCAGCACTGAAGTCACAAGGTTAGACTACACTGAACAAGATTAGCTGCTATATAAAGGAAAGGATCCCGCTTGCCCTAGATTTCTCAAGCACTGGGCATTTGTTTCACTTTTAAAAAACACCTTAATAAATGTATCAGCAGAAGGGGTCATATGTCAATATTTGAAACCAAAAGAGCTAAAAAAAGAGCTGTGACTTGTCTTCGGTGATGCTTTTAAAAGGGAAAACTGAGCTAGACTGTAGTATCATAACTTATACTCAGAATATTTCTATTCCACTGTTGCTATTTCTTGACTGTAAGGCAATCTCATATGAAAAAAAAAAAAAAGACAGTTTACATGGAGAAGTATCTTTGGATGTTTATATTAAGTATCTACTCTTCCCACAATCAACTTGGGATACCACTGTCTCTCTCAGGTGAATGGGTTTTCAGATTTGTTTATACACAAGTACCACACTTCGAGCAGGTTTCTTTCAGTGGTATCAATTCCATTCAAAATAATACAGAACATAGTTCCTACACACACATGACCATACACAGTAAAGGTAAATAACACAATTGCTTACCTAAAAATGCAGTGATACCATGTATTCTATGAAACCAAGTCAGCTGAAGTGGGGAGTAACTATCCCACAACCAAAAACCTTCCAGTAGTGAAAGGAGCTGTTGATGAGCCATAGCATACAAACCACTTTTGAGCAGACTCTGGATCCCCACAGGGGAAAAAAGCATCCCTGTGGAGCATGCCTGGGAGTCAGGAAATAATCCTGACTTTCATGGCCAGGGCTGCTTTTTCAGAGGTAGTCAGACAATGATATTCATCTACGAAGTTTTAACCAAAAAGCATGATAAAAGTTTCATCATAAACCCTTGTCCTGGTTTCAGCTGGGATAGAGCTAATTTTCTTCCCAGTAGCTGCTGTGTTTTGGATTTAATATGAGAAGCATATTGATAATACACTGATGGTTTTAGTTGTTGCTAAGAAATCAAGTACTTTTTTTCAGTTGCCCATGCTCAGCTAATGAGCAGGTGTACAAGAGCTGGGAGGAAGCATAGCCAGGCAGCTAACCCAGGATGGCCAGTGGAAATATTCCATATCATATACATCATGCTCAGTATATAAATGGGGTTGGCTGGGGGGCAGAAACTTTTCTGTGAGTCCGGCAAGCTCTGCAAAATCCTGCCTTGGCAGGGGGTTGGTCTAGATGACCCACAGAGGTCCCTTCCAAGCCCCACGATTCTGTGAGTTCCGTGAAAGTTGTGGATGCTGAGAAGCTGTGGCTCCCGCTCCCTGGCAGTGTTCAAGGCCAGGCTGGATGGGGCTTTGAGCAACCTGGTCCAGTGGAAGGTGTCCCTGCTCATGGCAGCGGGGTTGGAAAGGTTCTGTGAAATCTGCAAGTTCTGCGAGTTCCATGAGTTCTGCAAGTTCTGCAGTCGCTGCTCAGGGACAGGCTGTGCAATAGGGTTGTTGCGCAGTGAGGAAAATTGTACTGTGTATCACTTGTTTTGCCTGTGCTTTATTATTCTTCCTTCCTTTGTTGTCTTATTAAACTGCCCTTATCTCAACCCACGAGTTTTACTTTTTGCCTATTCTCCTCCCTATCCCACTGGGGGCAGAGGGGAGGAGTGAGCGAGTGGCTGCCTGGTCCCAGTTGCTGGCTGCTGGGTTAAACCACAATGGTTTTACGTATCATCCATCTCTAAGTGTCTTGTAACAAAGTGGAGGTGAGGAGAAAAAATTTAAGGGTATGATGATTCTGTAAATGGTGTATTTTCATTTACACAGCTGCCAGTGACTTTAGCATTTGACAAGTTCATTATGACTGGAAAACCCTGACCAAACCTGTCAGGGAAAAGAAAGTAACTATGAATACTTATTTTCAGTTCAGCATCCAACAGCAGCTAACTATATGGTAACCTGGTCCATGCTTAGACCTCTTGAACATTCCAGCAACATCAGCAATAACAACTGCACAACAGCTCTAGCTCAGTTGTGAAATATCTGGTGTTTCACTGTCAAAGAATCATATTCTACAAACCTTCATGGCTTAAATAACAGCCAGTGCTTTTCATTTTGAGATTCTGTGTATGAACAGATAGACAATGGTAAACAGCAATTAAATTCATGAGAACCTTGTGTGTGACCAAGGAAGAAGCCTCAGAGCTACTCAAACCTAATTCACATGCCAGAATGACCACTGGCTAGCCAAGCAAAATTCAATTAATGAACTTAATTTCTAGATGGGTGTTAGATTCTTCCCGCTTTTCAGTTCCCTCTAGAGCAGAAAAAGTATTTTTTTGAGAGTTATGAAGAAAATATTTGCCATACCAAAGCAGACAATATACTGTCTGCAGGTTTGCCTGTGTTATGCAAGTAAAGTGTTTGGACCAGCCTCCTTACAAGCTGCTTTGTATGTCCATTACTCAGCACCTTCCCTTCACCTGCCCCAGAAAAATAAACTAACAACCTTACCTGTACCACAAAGGTGGAAGACACATGTCAGTAAACAGTACTGACACTACAACAATGAACAGCTTAATAATATTATTAAAAAACCCTTTTGCTATACAGTAGGCAATTTTAAAACCATTCAATGACTGAAAGTTGTAATAGTCTACAACGGAAACTATTTTTCAGTCTTACTTGCACAAAAAAAAAAAGAACCCTTAACTTACTGATCTGTAGACACTTACTGGTTTCTGTTTGAAAATCCCGAAAACCGTCAAATATTGAGCGCGCAGGTCTGCGTCTTTTAGGAGCTTAAAAAAAAAAAAAAAGTATTTCAATAATTATTTCAAAAGTATACTATCAAAATAATTACATATTAGTACCTTCCATCACACATGTGGGACAACAGAATAGGAACCCAAAGCATGAATGATGTGAGAGTAAGGTCATTAGGAAGGGCTGGAGAAAGATGGAAATCAGTAGTCTAAAACATGTACCAACAATACACCAAAGTTTAAAGTTAGCCCTTTCTGATGGGCTCACCAAGCACTCCAAAGGCCATCCCACCCAGTGGCAGTGCTGTCACAGCATCATGTGTCACAATTCCAGTCAAGATTTTTACAACAGACCTTCAAGCAGATGAAAAACTTTGAAAAAAAAATTTGAATAACATGATTTTGGGAGAAAATTTTATTTATTAGGCACCACACTTTTTTTTTCCACAATCCATTTCTATTCTTTTCTAATCTCTTATCCAGACTCTGTCCCAAATTCTTGCCTGGAATGGCAACAGCCACAGTCCTCCATTGGATCCAGTATCACTAACTGCAAGGGAACCTTCAGAACAGATCTGGTGCAGTTGGGGAGAGACAGCGGCCCAGGCAGGTAACTGGAACAGTACCTAAAAGTACCATCGAAGTCCTATGGTACAGCAGAACCACTGTATGTGGGACGCAAAACAGAACTGCCTGCCAAGATTTATTTCAACTTTTCATCTGCATTACTATTAAGTGAAAACAGAACAATTTAAAGATAGAAATTTCAAAGCCTAATTGTTACAAGACATAATAAATGATAAACAAATTAAACAAAGATAAATACAATGTATACCCACTGGAAACCTGTAGTAAGAAAAAATCCATTTACTGTGAGAAAGCAAGACCTACTCACAGGTCACACAGTAAGTACCTCCAAAACTTGATTTTAGAGACCTTCTGGTTTTGCACCCATAGCGTGTGCATCATTGTTCATCTTTCACCTTGTATCACACCAAGGGCATAAAGAATGGTACACAGCTCTTGTTCCTTGCATTCTTCTCGTACAGAGTACGAAGTAAAGAATCAGTGTATCCCATACAGACTATCATGGAATAAGAAAGTAAGCTTGAATGAGGAACATGCTTGTGAATAATACTTCTCTAACTCCAATAAATAACATCTCTTTCACCTCTAAATGCTTAGGGGCACAAGCACAACCCATTAAAGCCAACTTCAGAGCAACTTAAACTGCAGGTAAGGATAGCAACTGAAGGACCACTTCAGCAAAAGCAGCATTTCGCTTGCCAGGCTTAGCTACAGCCTGGCAGCGCTGATGAAGACGTTCACAGCAGTCCAGGTAGACGTTTTTCTGATATCCTTTGTAGCGCAAGACGGATTCCATGTATCTGGCAAAGCACAAATACACAGGGTCATCTCATCAACTGGAAGAAACCCCAAGCTCACACAATCACGTCAGCATGACACTGTCAAAACCAGGAACTGGCACATTCCCTGTTTTGAGGTTAGAGCTGAAAAGACCAAGTGAAGTCTCTCTGGTTTCAGCTGGCTTGTCCTGCTTCACGTTACAAACAGAAGTGGCATTAGTGAGCATATCAGCACTGGTGGACCAGACAGTGCCAGGAGGCTATCACTGATCCGCAGATCCCCTCGGTAGGGCAGTCAGTGACAGCGCGTCTGAGATCAGTGTGTTACAGGTGGGTAGAACAGGACCAAGCACTAGGGTCAGCAGATCTTAGTCCTGCACTTCTTAGATTCTCGAACCCACAGGAGTCTACAGACCTTTGTCAATAACTCTGCTGGGCCACAAAGAAAGCAAAAGGAACAAGCTGCTGCAGTGTCTTCAGAGTGCCCTCAGCAGGGCACCATCCTCTGGAATCACCTCCCAGCTTGTGCATCCTGGCTAAAAACCTCTCTGCTGTTGAAAAAAAAGACAGAAAACCAGTTCCGTGGTAAACCTGGACTGGCCACCTCCTCCCTTCTAGCACAGGAACTAAACAATAGAAAAGCTCATTCCCTCTGGGTATGCAACCACTTTAAAGGGGAGCCTTGCAAGCCCTTCCTTGATAAAAAGGGCAAGACTCCCAATTAGCTTGACGTAGCAAAGCCACACAGACAGCCAGAAATGGCCTGGTCAACATGAGAGGGACAGAGCTAGAGGAAGTAAGCATAAAAAGAGAGCGCCTTGTATCTCCATGCAGGCATGGACATTATACAAAAGGAGAAGATAATGCACCAGGTAACCCAGTCACACTACAGAAGTTCCATCCCTGTGCTGCTGTAAAAGAACCACTATAGCAAAGGTTTGCGATTGATGTTTTGAGATTCAGAACGTGAGTGTATTACACGATTACTAAAGAGTGCTTTAGATAAGCACCCAAAAGAAAAGAGCATTTCCATCACCTGTTTCCTTAGAGCAAAAAAATGTTTCAAAAACAAAAGTGATACACAGCTTCAAAAAACAAACAAGAAAACTAGCTGCATGACGCAGTTTAAAAAGCAAATTAAATTCCCAAATGAGAAATGGAGAAAATTATGAGTAATCACATAGTTCAGCCCTTTCTCATCTGTCATCTCCTTGACAAGCATGCATTTGTCCTCTTCATTTTCACTCGTCAGTCAAAGTTCAAGCTTTTATCCCATCACCTTGAACACTTTCACAGCAGTATCACAGTCCTGAACCCCCAGAACGCAGACATGTATTTATCATAGCTAACTGGCTATTGCCTCATAAAGTCTCATTAAACTGGAGTTAGCAAATTGGTACCACTGGGAATGTAGCATCTCTAATGTGCAAGGTTTTCAATAACACTGGTGTATTTCCAAGTGTGCAATCATGTTACATAGCAGCAGAGTTGCAGCAGGGAAAAAAAATAAGAACAAAAATACATACAATGCTTTCTTCATATGAAGCAAGCTCTGGTTTTTTTCATCGTTTAGCTTATCTCAAGGTAACGAAAACAAAACAATAAAATAAGAACACAAGCCTACCTCCAAACAAGGGCTCTGGCTCTACTAAAATTTCCTGTTTTTGAGGAATTGGAGCTCGTACTTCATCCCTATCAAAGAGGAAGGAGGAAAAAAAGAAAAACACACACATCAGAGATTATAATGTTCCAAGCATCCCGTTGTGCTCCAAAGGCTCCTGCAACTTGAACCAGCTGTACCGTTGCACAAAATCAAGAGATCTGGGTCACAAAGGACCTCAAGAGACCATCCATTGCCACTCATGGCACTGAAGCAGGACTTGTTATACTCTACATTAAGATCTGACATGGATACGACCTTTCTAAATCTTGACAGAAGATTACACAGATCCCTGGGTGACTAGATCCCAGACTTTGTCAATCTACTATTCAAATATTTTCTTCTTCTTTAGTAACTGTCTTAAAACTTGGAAAAGTTTCTTAAAACTTAGCAAAGGCTGCTAATTAATCTGCTTGCCCCCCTCCTCCCCTAATTATCTACACAGAGGGAGAAAAAAAGGATTATCTTCCTTACTACAAGCTTTCTTCTGCTGAAAGAATTTTGCTTCCACTTGAAGTTCACAGCCCTCTCTTTTCCAGAGGAAGGAAAATAAGATGATCAAAAAGGCCATTTCTCTCATTTTGGAAGCAGTTCTTTGCTTACATAGCTGGGGTCCCTCACATACCAACAGCTCAGTTACACTTGCAGAGACTGCTAGATAATCTGAAATTATGACTAGAAGAAAAGACATCACAAGGGCTCTGAAACAGTATCACTCAGTGTGGTCACCTTGCCCACAGATCTACGGGAAGGAGGGCACAGGCTCAGTCAAGCAAATCCACTGCTATTCCCTGCCTGTGAACTGCTCCTGAAGTGCCCTCTTCCCTCGGACTCATCGAAGTGGTAAACTGTGCAGTTTGTGGCTCTTGGCCATGCACATTTCAAAAAGTAACTCATAATGTCAGCAGGATGCACTAACCTTGCTATTAACCTCCACATCTTTGATTGCTTTGTGAAGCTAGTTATTCTCCATTTTGCATTTGCATACTTATTGTTCTCTCTTCCTAGAAGTAACACTAAACTGACCAGTACCTGGAGGGTGTCAAGTATAAAAAAGAAAGTATTCCAATAAAAACTTGAATCTTAAGTCACTGATGTGCCAGAAGTTGTCTAGAAATAAGAACTCTAACACCTAAAGATACAGGGTTTTAGTAAACCAGTTGTTTAAATTTACACAAGTGCTTCAGAAGTATGAGGGGCAAGAATTTTCTTTAAAAGTTAGTCGTCTTTAGGAAAAAGACCTTCATAAAGACCAAACCATGGCTCGGTTTAATTTAGAACATTTAATGAATGTGACTTGTACCAATTGACTTCCACTCAAAATATTCTATTTATCCCAAGCAGACACATTAACAGGCAGCACTGAAAGACTCTCTGCAATGCTGAAGTGGAACAACTTTCTTTTATTGGCATCTGATGTGCAAGACACTCAGGCAGATACTACAGTTGCTCATTCCTCTGCGTACCAGTGTACGCAATCCAGCCTTTCCAGTGCCAAATCTGGTTACACTTAAAACAACACTAACAACCCCTTACAAAGGGGACTAAGGTCACGGTATTTATAAGAACCAAAACAACATAAGTCTCTGCTAAATTAACATAAAGCAAGATTGCTGGAGCCATTAAAAACCAAGAATCCCTTACTACTGGACCACTTTAACGTCTTGAGCTCTGTTTGCAAACAATGGTCTGTTCAAGCTACAGAAAACTTCTGAAGTACATGCAAGAGAGACTAACTTCTGTAATAAGAACTTATTTACCCAGTTGGAGCAATCAATTTAACAAGATCATCAAAGAGGCACGTATTACAGCAGGTTAGAAGTGACAATTGTCTTATTTGTTCTACCTTACACTATTAAATTCTTAAGACAGAGCACTCATTATGCAGACACATTCATCGGGTACATACTCATTGTGTGGTCGAACAGTAGACACCCCTGCAGAACTGGTGCTAGGCTCCTCTGCTATGCCTCCACCATCCAGAAACATGGTGACAGCCATCTCCAGATTGTTGTTGCATGCTTCAAGCATGTGCTTTCCCACGCTTTCACTGGCACCTGTAATGCCAAAGAAAAATTAAAGCATCCTTTGGAAAGCACTTTGATTGGAAGCACTAGGAACAGCTGACTGGCAAGCTTTCTCTCTCAAAGCATTAGTAATTACAAAGAACAGTTCAACAGTTGCCATTTATCTCTGAAGTACAACTTTGAAATGAGACAAACATACATATCTCACAGGGGAAGGGACTGCCCAGATATAGGACAGCCACACTTCTTCCTCCCATCAAGAGAAAACTTAGTGGAAGCCATCGGAGGGGTTTTATCATGTTCTTTTTTTTTTTTTTTCCTAGAGGTCAGACCTCTTCCTGGTACAATTTTCCAAACACCAGTAAGCATACGCAAAAAAAAATGAAAACCTGAATTAACTTTTTAACAGGGGGAATACTAGATCAGCTGCTGGAGTTTTTTTTACCCACTTATAACAGATATTTAGACAGAAGAAAAGATACCCTGTTTTACTGATTGTGCTAAAAGGCAAAAACAAACCAGCAGAAACTCAGTTCACATTAAGAGGGGACAAAAATAAAGCCAAGCCAAGAGGGAGAAAGCAGTACTTGTCTACAGTTATTTGTATAACCACTAACATTTATTAAAATCTCTTAGCATCACTTGTGACTCTTTCCTCAGAGGGTCAGCCTCAACCTCCCAACTTCTCCTCAAAAACCACACCATCAACAGAAGCACCCTCATCAATGGAAGCTCTCCTGCACCAATCCTTTAAATGTCTACTCACTACAGCATCTGTCTCTACAGGTGGTAGACTGCCAAAGAGTTTATTTTCATATGGGGAGGGTGGTAGAGAGGAAGAGTGGCAAAATGCAGCTGAACCAGTTTGGGAGTAGCTTTTGGATCTGTAATAATTCTTACTAGGTTTACTGCAAGTCACCAAAATGAAGAAAACACTTTCCCCAGCATCAGAACCACAGATAACATCAGTTTAGGCAAAATGTATTTGGATGTTTCTCAGATTTTCCTGGAAGACTCAAGAAGCTCTAGTTTGAAAAGAGAACACACTTTGAAGCTGTCAAGATAAATCACTTCCAAATGACCTGCACTTTAATCAAGGAGAGAGCCAACCTGAGTGATCTGGTTTTCCAAAAAAAAAACCTGCCACGACAAGTGTACTGGGATGGTAGTCAGCTGTATTTTAGGACCTTAACTGAGATGAAGAAAGTGTAAAATAAAAACTAGTGACATCTCACAAAATGACGTGAGAGCATCAAGCTCGTGTTCTTCAAACTAACTGCTCTCTGGCATTTTTCAGGAGCTCAGTTCAATGTCAGCTGTAGCAATTAAATGATACCCGTTATGCACACACCACCCTAGAACCTCACTGTACAGCATTGTGAAGTCATTAATTTAGAAGAACTAGAAGAAAAATTATATTCAACTCTGCTATTTAAAGTGTTACCAACACACAAAGTGCTTCTCGTACTTATTCTTCACCACTCCTAAGGAAACTGCCATCATATGAATGTTTTCAGTGCTTGTGCTGGCAAACAGAAAATACTACATATTTGTTAAGTCTCAAAGCAAATTTCAAAGAGATCCCATCACGTCATTGGTAAAGATACACAGGAGTTATCAGCAATACTTCTCCAGGTGAGAGCGCCAAAGAAACGCACTTCTGTCATCTGGATAAGAGAAACACGTCAAGGACTATTTCTCCTCATTCCTCACTATCACCTACGCTAGAATCCAACTGTTGTACAGTATTATTCATGCAGCCTTTTCCCCACAGATTCAGGTGATTTCGTACACTTACAACTCAAAGTGAAAGCTGCTAACACAAACCACTGAGGGTCTTTGCTTCTGAGCACCTGTCAAATCATGCCTGTATCAGCAAGACAACCTCCATAACAATACACTTTTAGATACAACCATAAATTCTGTTGAAACAGAAAAACAAAACTTCAGAACTCTAATAGTGGATGGGCAAAGCCCAAGCAGGTTCTTTTTTTCCTTTGTGAAAGCGTAAGAGGGGTGCTCTTGTGTTTAATGTAAACCATCTGTATAAGCACAAAAAGCTGTCAGGAAGAGCAACTAGCATGACTCCCCCTGTTCTGGTTTGTTTTTTAGCAAATACCTCAGGAAAAAGAAAACACAAGGCACACATGGGTGCATACCATAACGAAAACATGTTTGCTGTAGGTGCTTTTTGTTCGAGAGTTTATTCTAAATGGTTTCTTTAACGATTTCCCAGGGTACCCTACCGGCACGCTCACAGCGTACTAAACACCCTCGACACTCCTGTCCAGGATTTGAGTGCGTCCGAGCCTGCGTACAGGGACACAGCCTAAAATTCAGCTGGTTACAGCAACCGAATTACAAGCCGTTTCACTTGTATCAACCGAAAAGCCAAAGATGTTTTATTAGACGTTCCTTCAGTATTTGATACACAACGCCACAGGCAAGGGGCAACGACGACGAAGCAGAATAAACACAAAGTGGGGCAAGCGTTCAAAGTGCACAGGCTAAATCAGGAACTGTCACCTGCCGCAAACTTCAATTTAAAAGCGACTCGCTATTTTCCTTAGCGAACCAAATTCTCAGTGAGCCGACCGTGCTTTAAGAGATCTGTTTTCCCTTCTAAAGGCGGAATCAGGGCTCAGCTCCAGCCTCCCTCCTGGCCGCCGGCTTTATTCGCAGGAGCGGGACGCGGTTCCCGAAGCAGAGCCCACACACCGCGCAGCTCGCCCGACCGGGGACAACCGAGAGGCGCCTCCCCGCC